ATGTCCCCCAGGGTACTGCCAGAACGTACCCTGGGTATGGTCCGGTATACCGGAACGTACCCTGGTCACTATTTGATATGGTTAGGGTTAGGGAGTAGGCGTAGGCGACTCCCTAGACTCATTAGTGGAGTAGGCGAGGTACGGTCCGGCATATTAGATAGTACCCGGGTACGTTCCGGTATACCGACCCGGACATAGACCCTCTCAGCATCACTAGAGACAGGGTAGTGTGTTACATCCTCCACACAACCTACCTAATAAACTACGCCACTTATTGACATCTGACAAATATAATTTCCTGCGGAAGTAACAGGGCTTAAATGTTAGGGTAAAATAGTAGAGTAAAAGATGGATTAACTTGGTATTTTTACACAATAACTTTACATCTACATGTAAATTGCACGGAGTCCCATCGTAATGGTGCTGGATTTATTTTTAGGGATGTGATCTATACTGTTGGTCTCAAGAAACAATGGCTGAAATGTTTCTTCAGCTTTTGTATAGGTGTGAAGTTATTGCATAAGATTACTGGTTGTTAAGTAAAGTAAGTTGTAAGTTGTCTATAATTTCCCCTCAGAAGAACCCCTGTATATATACCTACACATTTCTATAATCATGCATTCATATTTTAACTGAAAATATGCAAGGGCATGTATCCATTTATAAGCATTACTGTGTTTATTTTGGTAGCTATGCCTAGTGGAGCTGACCATGCGACTGGCTTGGAGAAAAAGGAACTTCTTGCAAAAGCTGCAGGGAATGAGGTGATCTCTAATTGTATAAATAAGACTGTTCTGAAAACTAGAGCATTTGTTACTTTGCCTATAGTTCGCCTCATAACCTTAAAATTCAAACTGAAACTCAAAATTGATTATTAAAATTATAGTCCTGTAAAATTGCCATGCGGTATGCAATTATTTATCAAGTGTAAAATGTGTTAATTTACAAATGTACATTTCTAATAAAATTTGTTCAAATCTTTATAGCTATTCAGGGTTCTCCCTACGTTGCGCAAACGTCTGGGAAAACTCCCCCCTGTTTCAATCGTTGCGCCCCGTTTAAATTACCTCCGCCCCGATTAAATTCCACCACAATAAAAGTTTGCCAGCGCGGGAATCGATCGTCAAGAACTCCCATTCGACCAGGACACCCGGCGCGTGCATTTTTACCGTGCCACGCATGCACTGCACACAATACACAAGTACAAACAGTTAACCTGTCCCACACCCAACACTAACTGTACACCGTCTTGGCTATCTTATATATACAAGAACCCCAAATACCGTCTATGGTGTGGTGGCGATTTTACGCATTAATTAGTGGTACGGTAAAAAAACACGCCCCCCGGACCCCCCTAGTTCCCCCCCCTCTCCTCGCCTCCCCCCTCCCCTCCCCTCCCCTCCCCCCTGTTTGAATTTCATCCTGGGGAGAACCCTGCTATTAGATTTCGTTTAGATTTGTTGGTTTCCTGACCAATGTAGCAAATCTGTATAAATGTAGAAAATTTTGAGCCCCAAAGCTGCCGAGATTGATCTACCATTATTTGTTCATGTTTGCTTATTGCAGAATCCGTTTGACATGCGTGTGATAAAGCGCAATGCTGGTACAAAAGACACACCCAATCAGATTCCTTCTATATTTGATAAGCGTCTAGTCGGATGTATTTGTAAGTTGTCTTGTTGGTCTAGTTACCCGAATCTTGCATTCAAGTTTATAATGTTTCAGTATCAGGTTTAACTAGAGCGACTATTGCATGTGTTTCATATATAATAACTTTGTCATATATAACCTTGTTTCAATCTGTTTTACCTTTGAAGCATTGTGATATGACTTTTATGTATTATGAGCAGTATTTATTCTGGCATTGTAATGGCAATATTTTACAGGTGAGGAGGAGGCCACGTGCGTGACGTGGATGTGGCTTTACAAGGGTGAGCCCAGGCGTTGTGAGTGCGGTCACTGGTTCAAGCTGGTTGAAGCCAAAGGTCTTTGAACAGACGTTTCCAAGTCCTAAGTACAGATGAATCCTGGCGCAAGTGTACTTTAGTTTTTACACTGGACAAATGTTGATTTATCAGCCAGTCTTGCAGAGTGAGTTAAATTATATGTAGCTTCAATAATGGCATGAAACGAGTTGACAAAATAAAGAAGCCAAAAATAAGATGTTTAAAAAGTTACGCCTTTGCCTCACTATGATGTAAAAAATTTTAGCTGCTTATAAATAAAGCAATATAGCTACTGTTGTTTAATGAGAGTGCATGTTTCCATCTCTTTTTCAATGGCGCCCACTTGACAGAGATATTCAAAAATAATTCCATAACATTTTTTTATATCAATCAAAGTAATGCACTAAATTCCTATAGACATAATAGCTTGTCAAACAATGTAAAGTGCGAGTGTCGTCCTTTAACATGAAATGAGAGGTTATATTCCACAGTTCTTATATCAGTCACAATTTTATTGGCTTACCATATAGTGTCTACCATGTACATAGCAATGCTTCACAAGTTCACACCATATACAAGCAGCATCTTGTTGAATAGGAAGATCTAGGAAACTGCAAAGGGGATAGATCAATAGGAAGTGCTTTAAGAAAGCAATACTATAGCTGCAACCTAAATAGATTGCTAAATAGATAACTGAACGATGCATAATTTCACAAGCAAGGACTCCAGTATTTGTAACTTCACAGTGTACGATTTCAAGCAGTTGTTAAACAAATGTTGCAAACAAATGTTGCTATCTCTTAATCATCATAACAAGTTATATACGTATAGTAATTTAGTCAAGGTTCTCCAGCCTCTCTTATAGTGAACATTTCAAGAAATATTGACAAGTTTACACTATATTAGTGAAGGGTTGGGACTTATATACAGCACTTGACCAGTTTGTGTCACCAATCTCGATTATATACCCACATCTAGAATTGAACAAAACACACCAAATGAGTAAGTACTAAGTCCTCTGGGAAACCTGCCTCACATACTGTATACCTGCGAATATAGCATAACAATTACTGTCTCTGAAAACTCCACATCCAAGTCAGAAATCTTTTGTGAAGCTATTTGGTGCATGCGCTCCAATAATATTTACATCTACTGCAACAAAAACAACATCTATTTCATAACTGTTAGTTAGGTTGAAACTTTCAGCTCTGTCAACATAAGTGCAAATATGCGGCAGTTCAGTTCACCACACTGTGACTTATTTTTTCCATTATAAAATAACATGCCATATTTACATATAATTGTAAACCTTTTTAAAGCTCGGTCGCATGTAAGGGAACACCACTATGAGCATAGACTCACATAAGAAAGTCAAGAGAGTTTAAAGCGCTACAGAAATGATTTTTCTGCTCCTAGAATGGGACTGAATGATGGGTTACGAAAAGATAATACGATGGTACACATAATAAATATAGCTTCATTGTATGCTGCACTGCTACACACTGGAATTAATTCCCATTGACCAATTGTTCATAAACAAGCAGGCTATTAGGTAATCTTCATGAGTAATTTCCACAATAAGTATCCCAACAATGCATATAATTATAATAAACTGCATTACCAGTAATGCTTAAATAATAAATTTGAATTTTTTGTATATATATGTGTATAGTTGTGAAATTTTAACTGGCCTGTGCTTTAATAATATTTAGTCGTGTGCTAATAATAGCATCAGGCTCTAGCTGCTTACTAAAAGCTCTAAAACATATAATGAACTAGGCAACATAGTATAGTGTTACAATATCTTATTGGTCATATTTACGTAACACTATTTAGTATTATTGGACCATTGACATGCTAGTCTATTCGGTAAACATTAATACATGAACGCAAACGAATCGCTATAACATCCACCAATAATCAATGCTACATCTGCAAATGAGCATAATTTCTCCAGCACATGGAACTGCTACTTAGCTTTGCTTTTGCTTATTAGTGTAGCGACCTCGTTAGGTAGGTACACACACACACCAGTCTGAATAATACTCGTCAAAGTATGATAATTTACACTACTGTCTAACATGTGACATGACTGCACCTGTACTCCTACTACTGACACTACTGACTACTGAGTGACAAAGGTGGGATGAAGGAAGCCAGGTCCAAACAAAACTCATGGCAACAAAAGCCCAACCCATGAGATGACAACAAGTAGTGGGAGTGCAGATACCAGTAGAGACCACACCCACAAAAATCACAAGGAATACGGTCACACACTGGTAGAAGTTGTGCCATCTATACCCCCTCCCCTCCCCGTGTGATTCTTGTTTGATTATGTATAGACAGCAAGGACCATCTGCAGTGCATGTCACAGAAGATGCATTGAATCAAGAGCCCATAAACTGCATGATTTACGGGATCTTAACAGAGTTTTCGTCCGCGCTGAGGCCCATCAACGGTTTACCAGCCACAGAATCAGACCAATAATCACTCCGATGATTACGAGGAAAACGGCCAAAATCACAGTCTTCTTTCGTCTCGAAATCTGCAACGCACATCGGAAACTAAGTGGGTAATTTGTCTATTGACTTAATATCCAATTTGAATAGTTCTAACAACAAACTTTTGTTTCATGCACAAAACATCTTTAATAGCTACAGCGAGTACATTTCATGCAAGATGCACCTATACAAGAAGCAAAATGTGTATGCTTGTGTAATATTGCTAAAAATATTGAGAAAGCACATAGAGAAATAACCAACCTAATAAAAACATTATCGGGTGGACAGCCAAATAATCAGCCCAATAACACCGCCAAGTACAATCAAGATGACGACGATGCAGAAACACTTCTTTCGCGACCGTGTCTATTGGACATGAACATAAAACAAGCATTAAAAATCACAGGCTACAGATAATCGCAATTCCATAATCTACGTGTATTAAGGTTCCAAAATACAACAAATGTAACAAAGTATATAATACCTCCGTGCACAACACGCAATTGCATAAAAAGTTTCAATGTTTCCTAATGGGGATCAACTAAAAGAAAACATTCTCTTCGGGACTCTTCATGATGATATTACTTAAGTTATAAACATGCATATCTCACTTTATGCACGAAGCTACTGCACATACCTGATAGTCAGCTGCCTTGCGTATCTGCCGCGTGCCCTCCTCCACCTGGATTGCGCCTTGCTCAATGTTAGCCTCAATCGAATCTGAAACAGGACATATACTCCCTCTGCTCTACCATGAATACATGCTTGCCCCGCGTATAGTGTCGTTTGACCCACGCAGTTCGTGCACTCCGATAACTTCCCGTTAGGCAAATTGTGGGCAATTGTCGTTTTGCCAACCGGAATGCGATCTCAGAATGCTCATATATATATATATATATATACGTTTGTAAAACAGGAAGCAGTGTTTTAGGGCTAATATGTAGTAACAACGAACATGTAAACACTGTTTCTGACAGTTTACTAAGAGGAAAGCTGGCTTTAACCAAGTACTCACCAACGATCTCTCCTTGCTCATGTACCAGCATTCCTAGATCTTTAAAGATCACATTAACATCTTGAATGTCATTCTATGGAAATGGGAAATAAAAACACAAATTTATTTGCATAAGATTGTAATTGACTAGTGACAAGGCAAGTTCGACAGCAATGACCAGTTGGCTGACAATTCATCCATCCATACACACGAGAGGCTTAACACCAATCAATAGTAATTCTTACTTCTAACTGTCGAATGGAATTCTCTCTCTCCTGTAACAATTCTACGTCGGTGTCATCAATCTGAGCCTGCATTTGCTGTGGGGCTCGCGGGCCGGGAATCGAGACAAGCGTGTGGTCGGTGCCATTGTCGAAATCACCCTAAAATGTATCGACTTATCAACCCCCATCTATACAAACACAATAATATAGGGCATGTCACTGGAAGTAGGAAGCGGATCATAGTAAATTATATATACAAGCAAGATAATTTAAGGCATGCCACTGGAAGTATAGGCATCGAATCACGCTAAATTTTATACACCAGCAAGGTAAATTACAGCATGTCACTGGAATAAGGTCATTTAATAACATGTCACTTAATAGCATGTCACTTAATAACATGTCACATGCAAGTAAAATTAATGTTCATGATATACCAATGAAAATAAATTTTACTTGAACTTGAAGGCAGAAACCAGAAAGATTTCCAAAGCATAGGTTAACTCAAGTACCTTTAATTGTGCCTTCCAATTGCATTTGTACCATCTTATGTAAAATCAGAAAGATTCCAACAAGTAGTTGAAAACGTATCTTAGTTCCATCTACGTACTGCTTTTGAAGAAGACTGTGCCCTCGTGCGTGCCACACTCTCTCGCTCCCTCTCAGCAACACGACGCTGCGTTGACTGAAAGCTGCCGAGCGCATCCGAGAAGTCCTTAGTCAGTCTCTCTACCTGCATCTTTCTAATCCTCTGCAACACACATGACCACAGCCTTAAGAATAATGAATGAATAATTTCTTGCATTTTTAATAATAGTGAACATGCATTAATTGGTTGGTAACAAGGCCCACAGTACTTGTCCTGGCATGACAGAAAAAATAGAGCAAATGAGACACAATAGGGAACAGTGTGCTTCACAAAGCAAAACAACCACTACAAAAACTTATACTTGTGCATTACTATTTGTCCTTGAACTCTCCCCCCCCCACCCCACTCACCCCCATCACCACCAGATGATAGAATTATTCCTTTTGTGTAGTACCCAAATGTGAGTTAAACAACCTTGGTAAGCAATTACAGTATTGCTTTTTAAACATGAAGTGCACAAACTAAATACTGATTGTAAGTTGCTGCAGACATTGTACCTGATCAGACTGTGAAGATGACGGGCCAAGAGATGACAAATCCTTCAGGTTTTTGCTCGTATCTTTTGCAAGGTGGTTTGTATAGTGCTGGATCTGGCCCCTGGAAAAGATATTACACACAAATCAAAGCAACTTGTTAAAATTACACATTGATTATTAAGACACTTATTGCAGTTAAGTTCAGAACATATCAAAAGGGTATAACAATGATATTAGTTAAATAAATTTCAGACTGACAGTTTATATAAGTAGAAGATACTCAGTGACACTAATTATTAAATTAAATCCTTCCCACGCCTTCATACGCATAGCGCATGGTTACATGGCGCATAGGGCGGTGCCTATCTCTGTTTCAGTAACCCTGAGGCCCCGCAGCTGCTTTCACAGTAAATGCTACAGTAGGGGGTTAGTCCACTGGTAGCACTGCGAGTTAACTTGCCACACTCTATCTCTATTTGCTGAATGATAAGCAGAGAAGCCGTGTGTACCATTTTTCAAGTCTTTGGTGTGACCCGGCCGGGAGTTGAACCCCCGACCTTCCACATACGATGCGAGCACTCAACCATTGAGCCATCGCAGTGGTTCTCACTCAGTGACGCTACTAAACAAAATTGTATTCTCTTTAATTAGTCAAACACCGGTACATGCATATTAATACAACAGAAGAGAAGTTAAATGTTAACCAATTTTACAAAAAGTCAAGATTATACTCACAATTTATCCCACAGCATTTCCGTTTCTTGTGAGGTACCCAGTTGACCAACCATCCTCTGAATCTGTGACACTATGACACAAAGAGCCATAATTGTTGGTGCAATCCCTTTAAAGCTGCTTTCATCAATGTATCTAACAAAAGTGGTGTACTATGCAAGCATTTGTGCACAAAAATATGTTCATCAGATATATACTCAACGCAAAAGCTGCCTTGTCTAAACCGTGGATTCTGATATTTACATCAGGAAAAGCATGCCACACTTTTATGTGGAGCAACATTTACACAGCAACTCCAGAGTGACTTGAACTTTCTGCATATATATCTGTATCATTAGGACATGCAAAATAGTACACGAATGGCTATATGACTGAGAATTTATTTATAAAAATTATTTTGTTGTTGCACAAAGTGATTGGAAACAATTATAACAGACTCGTGAGCATGTACTAATGGCAACAGATATGGGGTCTGTTTATATTTTGCGAACTATATTTATGAATTCACAAACTTTATTGTGCTACACATGGCATTTTAGGACATTTTATATGTGGCAATCGAGAAATGTTAGCCTGTGTATGTGAATATTTATGACAAATTTTCACCATGGGCACGCCATTTTAAGACAATGGAATTCCGATTACCATTTTGCTGGATCTTCTGTATGTTGCTGCTGACCGTCTGTGACAGACGTGCAAAATTTGCAGCACTCTCCTGGGATGATCCCTGGTCAGACAGAGCATAAGTGCCACCATAGTATGTATCCGACATCTTGACTCTGGTGTCCTTCTATAGAGCGATGATACTATGCCAAGTTTTGTCCCCTAATTTCACTGTTGGTTTCTGTATTACTCTGCTAGAAAATAACAACAAAATATCTTAACCAATTTTATGGCTCTACATGTGTAAAGATAATTTTATAACAGATGTCAGAAACTAGTTTGGCACACACGATAGCTTCAAACAGGTTGTATTAAAATAGTTATAAACGCGCAGTTGTTGTTGTTTTCTATACGACTAGTAGTAATGTATACATGTAGTGTGTGGCCGTGGAATGTAACTGGTTGCAAAGAGCAAGGAATGACCAGAAATTTCTCCACCAGATCTTTTTCCACTTATACATAACATGATGGTTTATAATTGTACTCTGGTCTAGATTTGCATGAAATCTGCAAAAAACACCCTTCTTCTTTTCTTCAATCAGAATTTATCTATTAGTGTAAATTGGTGTGCATCAGTTATTTACCATTGTGATGACCGTGCAATACAATAGTTTAGAAATGAGCAGAATTTAAACAATATTATTGAATAGTAAGCCTGGGTATACAGTGCAATGTGCAGTTGGACTGAATTAGCTTGCAGGGCTTTTGTGAAAATAGTTAGTTGATGCCTTAATAATAATGGCTTAATTGCTAGTAATGGAGCTATTCATGAATATCATATTAAACACCAGACAATAAACTGAAACAAGTGCCGCGGAGCGACAGCGCTCATCTAACGTCTACTGCGGTGACTTTGTGGTGGAGTGGTGGGATTCTAGTAAACCCTGTTAGTCCCAAATGTGTTCACATACACGCCGAAACAGTGGAATGCACAGGGATGGTATCAGGAACCTTCTCAAAGAAATGTTCGTTGGGATCATTATGAAAGTTGCCACGAGATGGCGCGTACGTTTAAGTGTCTTCAGATTAAAGATG